GATTTTGAGATTGCTGCCCATCATGTCATAACAGTGACAACACGAGCTCAGAGCTCCAACAATTATAATAAGGCTTTTGATCCCATTGAGCTTGACTACCGGGAGCTTGTTGAGCCTCAAGATGGCATTACGGTTGATCAAGGACATCAATACAAGGGTGAGACTACGCTCTTCTTGTTGTCCATATAGCGGGCAAGGTGAGAGAGTAGAGTTTGACTTAATTTCTCACCCTACACAGGGTGAGGCACGACCAACCGCTCCGGTTGCACCTTATGCACCTACTAGGCATGTTTATGCCACTTCTTCTGATATTGCTCAACATGAGAATATCACTTTTGATTTGCACCTACAAGCCTTAGTGGACGCTAAGGTTAAAGCTGCTTTACCAGCCCAACAGTGCAAGGCTATCGTAAGGAAGGGTAGAACCTATCTAAAAAATTATGAGTACATTTCTTACCCTCTAGGATTCATCCTCCCTCACTTTAAGGGTACGGCATGGAAGGTAACCCCCGACAGTACATTGCTCGACTTCGAGCACTCTATTGTAATAGTGGTAATACTAATGCATTGCTTCTCTGCCTTTTGTGACCAGCTTGTTTGAGTATGTGTTTGAATGGTACATTGATATGCCTTATGGCACCTTCAGGAGATTCTTCAAGTTGGAAGATGCTTTCATTAAGCGCTTCGTTGGGGCACGTCACCAGGTCAACATACGTGATCTAATGCTAACCTGTCATAAGTCAAACAGGCTCATGCTAGATTTCGTTATCTGATGGTGGAACTTGAGTATGAAATGTGAGCCTCTCCTCTGGGAGCAGCATGTCATCATACTTCTCATGGGAAAAATTAAAGGCTCTTACTTTGTGTTATTGAAGATGACTTTGATTAAGTCTTTTGAGGTTCTGATAGAGAAGGTGGCCAGCTTACAAGATATAGCAGGCGCCTTAGTTTTAGAAGTTATTATAAGACCAAAGTTAAGAAGCCCCTTTCATTGGTTCCTTCGAGGAGAGTTGAGAAGAGTTTGGCTTTAACGGCATCTGATAGGGAGTAGAACAAGCCTATCATGTCTACCGAGCAAGCTCTCCTGTCTTTCCAGAAATGGGAACTCCATCCGCTTGAGCAAAAGAAATCAAAAGTGTAGTCTTTCGAAAATGACTGCCTCAGAAAAATGCTCATCAATCAATGAGCATCCAATGAGCATCTTGGAATTCCTCTTCTAGAGGAAAAACAAAAAAAGTAACTGGACTTTCATTCGTATTGCGGAGGGACTAAAATAATATAAAATAAATGATTAATTAGCGCATGCAGCTCCCACCGCATAATAAGCCCCATGATGTGGAGAAGTTCAAGGAGCCCAACTATTACCCCTACCATAGGTATTTGGGGCATGTGCTTGAAGATTATTATCCCTTCAAGGATTAGCTCAAGACGCGCTGTAAGACCGAAGAGATAGAGATACTAGAGCAAAACTTGGAGAAGCCTCTTAGATGAGGATCAGCCAAAGTTATTGCGGCCACTCCAACCATGTTTTGCATGGATGTTATTGTTGATGTATCTTATCTTTATTCTTACGTTAATGTATGCTCGGGTAAGGGACGTGGGATTCCCTCTGATGTAGCTTATACTCTTTATGAATTAGTAGAAGAAGATATTTCTTCTTACTCTTCTACGTCTCACATTTTTATGATTAGTTCATGTGAGTCTGATGTGTATGATAATGATGATGATGATGATGAGAGAGAGAAACAATGTCCGTTAGTGCTCTCCTTCAGTAGCACATACCGCATATGTGACGATCTAAGTGATTCCTCATATGACTAATGCAAGTCACCCTCTCATGAGAGCCTGATTTATGTGACTCTAGCTAAATGTTCCACTAGGGATGATCCTTCGAGGTCTCTTAGCAAGAATGTTCAAGAAGTTTGTTGAGATGAGGCAAAGCTCTTCCTCTAAGGATGGCCAAGCCCATGCCAAAAAAGAAGGGGAAGATATCATCACCCAAGAGGTAGATGATCAACCCGAGGCTCCTGATAAAGGAACTAAATAACCTTTGAATATGAGTGATTATAATGTGTTAGCATATCTCAAAAGGTTTCCAGTTGTTTTGAGCATCTTTAATGTGCTTCTTCTTTCCTCTAAGCTTATGGAAACTTTCGTGAAGGCTCTTTTAGAGCCAGAAGTCTTTAATGTTTATTATGCTCAAGAGAGGATGAAGGAGGTGGTTACACCACCGGACGTAGTTGTCATTACCTTTTCTGATGATGATTTAATTTTAGGCACTACGGACCACAACCATCCATTATACATGACAATCATGATATACGAAACTCCATTAAATTGTATATTAGTTGATCTTGGTGCTTTTATTAATATCATTAGCGTCCTTACTCTCGAGTTACTCTCCTAAATATGAGGAGATTGTGCTCGGATAGGATCATGCTTAATGGCTTCAATGAAAAGGGTCAAAAGACCTTAGGCTCTATTACATTACCTCTCCAAATTGTAGAGTTCAAGAGCGAAGCCAAATTTTATGTGATCGAGGAAACACGTCATTTAGAGCTTTGCGCGAACATTCGTGGATCCATGAGTATGAGATGAGCCTTTAACCCTACATTAATGTATTATATACATGCGTGGAAGGGAAGAATTTTCCATCTCTAGAGTTATTCAACTTTTTTTATCATTGAGGTAGGAGTATATGATGATGTTGAGTATTATGTACCATCTAAGAAGGCATCTCTTCTAACCTAAATCGTAGGATGTCCACAGACCCCTCCCCTTTATAGTTCTCTCCTAGCATATGGCATGGAAGCAATGAAGCATAAGGAAAGGTACCTTGCCACTATGACATCAAAGCAATAGCCTAGGCTCCCTACTTTGTCATTAGTTATGACAAATATCGAGACTATATCAGACTCTGAGGCTTAAGTCTAACGAGGAGCATTTTATTTTACAAAATTGATTCTCATGTAACAAACAATGATGCAATGCTTTTGAATGATGAGATCAAGAGTCAAAGAGTTATTCCTCTTTCTTATTATCACTCTCATCTTATTGTTAAAATGCTTGATAATGGGTTATTGCTCGAGAAATGGTCTGGAATGTGTGAGGCTATGACAGAATAGACCATCTAAGAAAAGGTATGGTTTGGGAAATGTGAAAAACCCTAACAAAACCAAGCTCCCTAAAGCCTCATGCAGGATGATTTATGTGTTGGAAGACATAGAGATCCTTGCCTCTAATAATGTGGAGGTCGAAATTAGAGATACCCCTCCTAAGCTTAAGGATAGAGTCTCTTCAACCTTTCACAAGTTGATCGAAGTCAACCTAGGAATTGTTGACGATCCACGTTAAACTTTTGTAAGCAAACTCTTATTAGATTCTTTGGCTAGCAAAATCATAAAAATCCTAAAAGAGTTTCGCGAATCCCTTGCTTGGAGTTATGTCGAAATGCCCGATTTGGTCAAGAGGTAGCGGTGTATCATTTGGTCATTGATCTGAGTACTATAAAACAAACTCCATGGAGAATGTGACCTGAAATAGAGCTGTTGGTCATTGAAGAGATCAAAAAGCTCATCGAGGCTCACTTCATTAGGGAAGTTTCTTACCTACATTGCTTGCAAGCATCGTGTCCGTTCAAAAGAACTAATAAATACGAGTTTGTATCGACTTTTGGGACCTAAATAAGGCTTGCCTAAGAGATGATTTTCCTTTGCCAATTTTGAAGCTTATTATAGATTTGGCCTCCTCTCATTCAATGTTCTCCTTCATGGATGGTTTGTCCGGTTACAACCAGATCCAGATGGCCCCAGAGGAATAGCAACATGAGGCATTTCATAATCCTATCAGCATCTTTTGCTATAGGTTATGCCTTTTAGCTTGAAGAATGTCGAGACAACCTATCAGTGTTATGGCGCACATCTTCGATAGCCTACTACATCATCAAGTCGAATGTCACATCGATGATATAGTAATTAAAAGTTTCCGTAGAGGATCATATGTCAGACCTAAGGGTGATTTTCGAAAACGTTAGGAAATACGATTTGAAAATGAACTCATTGATGTGTGTCTTCGGCGCATCTTCTGAGAAATTAAGAGGCTTCATTGGAAAGATTATAATGATGTACATCAATCTTAAGATGAATTAGGATATGTACAATAGAACTCTAGATGGCATGTTTCAAGTTCATATTATGAATTGTGCATAAAAGCCCCATAGAATACTTCACGCATTTTCTTATTATAAGCTCTAAAAATAATCACTAATTAAAATTAAAATTAAACATTCTAAAATGTCAGAAAAAAATCAAATATCATTTAAATTTGTTGTTCTAAATTTCTATAAAAATTAAAAATTAATTTTCGGTGGGTTTAATTTATTAGTTTATCTAAACATTAATTAAATTATTATCTTAGTAAATTATTGACATTTTTTTATGTTTTGCACTTTTATGTTCTATTTTGTTATGAAAAGATACAGAATGCAATTTTCATCAAATTCAGGGGGGATTCAGGTTCTATTGCAATTGGGACGACCAATTCATGTTAGAACTGATTGCAACATATGATTATACATTACGTTACAACTAGTAAACCCGTTCAGTTTCATAATTGCAACATGCAGCAGCAGTTCTTTTTCTCTTACAGCTTAAATTCCTACAGGCAGAGCCTTCTACTTCTGTTGAACTGGTTTTTGCAAAAATTCGACCATGACATTATAAATGACTTTATAGCTCTATTATACAGAATTTTATAGCTCACAAATAGCAGAACCAACCTATTTCACCCTTGCACCAGCCTGCCTTTTAAAAAGGAAGACTCGTAGAAGATGATCAGTCATAATGAGTAAGTTTCAAAACAACCGTCCGCATATTTGCATGGGTCATTTTAGTCCCCGAGCCTATAAAAATATCAAATTAGACGTCACATTCTTCTAATATGGGTTTAAACATTACTTAGAAAAGATTATTTTAGCAATATAAAAATCTGGGGACTAAATTGACACTTCAATAAATTATAGGACGTTTTACAACTTTTCTCGGATCATTTAACAACCAGCTACAATGGAGTGTGTAGCTTGAGACATTTTGGTCAGGCACATGAGCATGAACTATCTTTCATGATGCATTGATATTGCCAACCACAATATTTTTCAATAAGTTAAAAAGCTACTATTAAGTGTGGAAAAGCTCTGCATATCTTATTAACTACTGATACATGAGAAAAATAGAGAAGCTAAGAGAATATTAAAGAAACATGCAGAAAAAAGTTACCTAAACTTACATGATAAAACAAAGCAAAGCTTTCATGCCTGCAGCCGATCAAAGTTAATAATACTGTACAAGAAGGCTATCAAATGTCTCTCCTTAGATCATCATGCAAATATTTACACGATCTCCCCTTCTTGCAGTGTCCGCTATCATAAAACTTGCACACTCCTCTCTGTCCGTCCCCACCAGCAGAAGCTTGATGGGGCCATGATGGACCTCCCCTTCCACCTGACTGCAACTGGTTATTCCTATAATCATTCCCACCACGACGACCAGTATCTCTGTCTCTGTGTCGAGAGAAACCATCTCCATTGCGAACTTCATAGACGGAGCGTCTGCTTGTATCTCTATCGGATGATTTCCAGCCCCCATTTCGACTCCCATATGCTGATCCCCAGCCAGCTCTTGCACTAGCATCATTGGGATTTGCAATACCCTGAGACGGAGCCCCCCATCCCGTATTTGTATTCGCATTCAATTGAACAGGTAACCCCCAGCCAATATTCGCATTTCTATTCGCCTGAATTGGTGCACCCCAACTAGTATTGGGATTTGGATTTCCCTGAGCAGTTGCTGCCCCCCAACCTGTACTTGCATTGGCATTCGCATAGGACGGTGCGCCCCAGCCTGCATTTCCTTGCAGTGCCACACCCCAAGATGAAGTAGCATTTTGTATCGTCTGTAGGTTTTGGTTTTGAGAGGATACATTACTGGATGAGCTGGGAGTATCTATTCCCCAAGTACTCTTACTGCTCTTGGGCGTAGGAGATGGAAGGGAAGACTCCATTTCGCTCGCATTTTGTGGGTTCGCTTGATGAATGGGTGAATAGTTCAGCATAGGGTTTTGAGATTGCCCGCTGCCTATATCATCATTAGTAGCAATTGGAGAAAGATTGTTTGGTAACTCAGATTTTGCGTTGTCCATCTTTTGCATTCCATTACATGGAATTTTGTCTGTCAAACCCACAGCCGAAGCTGTATTTGATGATTCAAAGTTAATAATTGAATGATGAGCAGGATGAGCAGGATGAGCAGGATGAGCAGGATGAGCAGGATGAGAAGAGTCCAGTATTCCAGATGGAGCAGCAGCAGGCCCATGATTAAGTGCCATGTTGCCACTCAGTCCATCCAGTGTTGCAGGACAATTCTTGGTAGAACCTAGTTCATCCTGCCGTAATAACGATTCATTCCTCTCAGTTGTAGGAGTCGGACTTGGGCAGTCAGTTTCATAGGATTGATATTTTTTCATTCGACAAATTTGCTCATTGGTGCTGGGAATAGAAGAAACAATGGAGGGTTCTAAAGTATGATTGGCTTCAACCATTGGAGTTTTACTAGGCATCCCAACCGTAGGCCTAGTTGGACTCCAAATATTCCCATGATCCTGTTCCTGGTTCCATCCGCTGCCATTTCCTCCTCTCCCAGCTTCTTGGAGGATCACCGGAAATTGATATGGATTATTGTATATTGGGCCAGTAGGTTTAGGGTTGCTGGACCAGGGGCTAGAATATATGCCTGGCTTTCCCTCAGAAGAATTAGACACTTCAACCCCAGGTACAGACCAAACAGGTGGTGGCTGAGGCAAAACATCTAAAGTTGTTTGCTTGATATTTTGAAGTGCATTCCAATTGCCTCTGGTCTGCTGCCTTTCAGCCCATGCAAGCTGATGTGAAAAGCTGCCATGCTGAGTGACCTGCTGCGGTGGGTCATTATAAAATCTTCCAGCTAGTACATCCGCCAATAATTTGGAGTCTTCCTGCTTCTCAGAAGTTCTCCATACCCTCATATCAGGTGGGAAATAGCCAGTAGTATTCCACTTGCGCAACTGTGATATTGAAAATGGTCCCTGGATATTCATGGATGGGTCTTGGTAGTGCCAAATCTTGTCGGCCTCATTTGTTATAGATGGCAATAAAACTTCAGGGTGGTTCGCCGAGTTAATTTCAGGAACAGAACCATGTGACTGCTGTCCAAAAGATTTTGGAGCATAGTTGCCAGGATTTGGAGTCTGAAGACCAGTAAAACTGGCCTCAGAATGATACGTCTCTTTGCTTTGATTCAGAAGAATTTCATTTGGTCTTTCAGCCGTACTGTTATATATGTCCGATCTATCTTGCCAAACTTCACCCTGAATTTTTCTGCTTGTTTCACAATTGTAAGTTGGACTTCTATGCATACCATTCCAGTTATTTCTTACAGTACCAGCTCTTCCGCGAGGAACTAACTCCCTTTTCTTTCTCAGGGATAAAGCTTCCTTTGATCGATTCTGGTAATCTACATAGATGCAAAAAATCACCATGGGAACTCTGCAAAATCCCTCAAAAAAAAAAGGAGCTCTAAAAAGTTTTTACAGGGAAATCCAAAATTAAGCATGCTCATGCTAAAGCAACTGCTCAAATGGCTGACCATCCTAGTATGTTACGTCAAAAGAACAACTGTCCGACTTAAGGCCAAAAGCCAGCAACAACTCAATGGATATACTAAGTTCTAGTTATTACAAACACTATTAGAGCAACACAGGTTGAACTAAAAGAACTCTACTAATGCAAGTGAAAATTTTATGACATAAGAGTCGACACTAAGCCTATTTGGGAAAAAGTGTAACATGGAAACAGCCACGTACAAAATCACTAGCCCATTTGGCCAGACCCCAAAGTGGAGGCGAAAAGAAAAAAAAAACATTTATCATCAGAGTCGAGGCTACTCCAAGCATACTAAAAACCAGCAAAAGTCCAAAGAAATGTCAAAAGTGGCAGTAAGAAAAAAACAGTAAAACTCCAGAATCACCTTGATTTTTATCACCTTCCTCTTCTTCCGAAGACTCATATTCTGGATTCATCTTTGGATCAGCATGTATTTGAGGCACTTCATTCAATCTTCTTCGGCGCTCATCTGGATTGTTCAGAAGCTGCAACTTTTCTACACACTCTCTAAGCGTAATATAAGGTCAAGGATAATCTATCATGTCTTACTAATTGAGAGTAATTAGAAAGAAAAATGTATCGATTGCAGAAGTATCTACAAATGCACTTACCGAACATGTAACCAAACTTTGCTAGCGCATAGCAGCTCTAGAAAAATGATCCTCAAAAGAATAAGCCAGAAAGAAAGAACAACGCAAACAAGAAATCATCCATAAATCACATTTAAATAGTAAAACGAAAAAAGAGAGCACCAAAAGAAAACAATAGCAAATGTAAATGAAGGACAAAAATATATTTTTTTTAAAAAAATTCCTTCACCAATTTTTATTTATCATGCACGGAACTTGATCCAACAACTTGAAGATATTAACAACAACAACAACAACAACAAACCTTTAACCCAATAAGTGTTCAGATACATGAATCCTTTTCCTCCATTGTGGCCCATAGAGTGTCATATTTTCATTTAACTCTAGTAAAAAATTAAGAACTTTTTTTTATACAACAAGACCAAGTCTTTTTAGTTTACCTCTACCTTTATTAGCATAAGTCGAAACTAAAACATCTACTCTCCTAACCGGATCTTCAGATGGTCGACGATTAATGTGACCAAAAAAAAAGAAGCCAATGGAGAAAGCTATGATGACTAAGGGATTTTGATTTTTAGCAATATAAGGATTTGACCACCGATTTGATATTTTAGATAAAATAGAAGTTTTGAGTTCTAGGATTATCTAAAATTGAACTAGCAGTCATGTGTCAAATATATAGTAAAATAGAGATAAAACCTATAAATAGATAGTCTGAGACTGCACTTTGTGCTTTAATTAAATAAAATATTAGATTCAAATTATCAATCTTGTGTGTGCAAGATGAATGTGTAATTACTTAGTGCGCAGTATAGAAACCTCTTGGTGATGGCTAAATAGAGAAATAGAGAGTACTCAAGAAAGAAGATCAAAGGATGAGTGATATTGGACTTGGGCTGAGTTATATTGGAGAAAGCTATGATGGTTAAGGGACTTAGTCTTTAGTAATATAAGGATTTTATTTTACCATATATTTAAGGTTTTGGATAAAATAAAAGTTGAGTTCTAAGATTATTTAAAAATTGAACTAGATTTGGTCTTGTGTCCATAATATTTACTAATATAGAGATGAAGCTTATAAAAAGATAGTCTGACACAGCTTTGAAATCTTTAATTTGATAAAATTTTAGATTCAAATTATCAATCTTGTGCGTGCAAAATGAAAGTGTAATTACTTAGTGTCAAGAAAAAAAGCTATTGGCGATGGCTAAATAGAGAAATAGAGTGCTCAAGAAAGAAGATAAAAGGATGAGCGATATTGAACTGGGCCGAGGGATATCAAACCAAGACCTGAAGCATGATAATTCATCAAGAATTTACTAGGCAGTCCAAGCCCTAGTTATCTCATAGATGTCCCCAGTGACCATAGAACCTCCAAGCTCAAAAAGATGTGTGCCTAATAGTCTTAGTCTAACAAGTCAAGCAAAATAGATGATCTGCCATTGTGGTCATGTCATCGTGAAGTGGCCAAAGAAGGGTGCAGCCTCTTTCATATTTTAGGGCCTGTTTGGAGCAGCTTATTGAGGTGCGGCGACGTTTTCAAAACGCTGCCGCACTGTTTGGAACATGCATTAGAGCAAATTATTTGTGACGCACCGCATCCGCGTCTGGGAATTCCTTAAGGGTCTTCGACGTAGGTAAAAACCTGCGTCCCGCATTCAGCGCAAGCGTTGCCCTAGATACCCCTGATCTCCCTCGCCCTCTCCCTCCCTGGAGTCGTCACCCTAGAGAATATCGAACCTTCTTCCTTTCTATTTTTCTTTCTAATTCGTAAGATATGTTTTCCCTCACCGTCAATGCTTCTTTCTTGTGTATCTCCCTCGCCCTCTCCCTCCCTGGATTTGTTAGGAAATGACGATCGAACGTCACAGTTACATGGTTTTTTTTCCTCCTTGACCTAAGACAAGGATTTTCTTCTATTTCTTTTTTTCAAGTCGAAAAATGCGAATGGCTCTTTCTGGTTGCCCTTAAATTCCTTTCGATTTTTTGCCGGGCATGAGAAATAATTTTTGTTTGTTGGGTATTTTATCGAGCCCTGTCTGTTATAGGACGAAGATAATGTGGAGAATGCATTCCTTATATTGGGCCCGACTTTCGTTTCAATTTTTGTTGGGGGTGAGGATAATTTTTGTTTGCTGGGTATTTTATCTCCCTCGCCCTCTCCCTCCATGGATTTGTTTGGAAATAGCGATCGAACGTCGTTGTTACATGGTTCTTTTTCCTCCTTGACCGAAGAGCAAGAATTTTCTTTTCTTCTTTTTATTTCAAGTCGAAAAGCAAGGATTTTTGTTGGGCGTAAGGAATAATTTCTGAGCTGCTTATACAGGCAAGGAAAGCCTTATAAGTTGTTTATGAGCTGCTATTAATTTCTATTTAAGAGTTTGATTTTCAAGTTTCCTATATTTTGTGGTTGATCTTTCTGTTTACTTCTCTAGAATCCTTAGTTCTTTTTAAATTGTAGAAGAGATTGTGATTGGCCGTTATTTCAATTCTAGGAGAGATTGTGGTTGGTATTTTATCCGACTCTTGTCATGAGTTGCTAATGTTGAGAAGGATGGTTGGCAGTTATTTCAATTCTTGCTATTTTTGTAGGTTGACAGGATGGTTCGCAGTTTTTCAAGTTGTTGTATTGCTTTCAATGACATTGTGGTTTGAAGTTTTTTTGACCTACTCGACTCATTCCAATTGAGATTTGCTTATGCCTGCTTGGACTTTCCATACAGGGATCCCAATTTCTTGGTTGTGTCTGCTTTTGGTTTATTGTTCATATGTTGAGGCTTTTTTCATACTTAAGGCATATTTGTATGTGCTCGACATTGCTCTATTGTAAGGGATTTGTTGCATTGGTTTTGATATTATATTGGAAGGGATTTGATTGGCATTGCTCTATGAGTAGCTTGGCTTTGTCGATATTATATATTAGCTTGAGCATTGGCATTGCTTTCTATGAGTAGCTTGGCAAATAAGGAAAAAAGATTAAATAATATAGCAGTAGTAAAGAAAAAGATCATCTTCATTTTTACAACAATTTTTCACACTTTATAGCTGTTAAAATGAGGATCAGAGGAATGCATCAGTTATTTTTATATCAAATTTGAAACGGCAAGACTAGATCCTAGTCCCTGAATCTACAAAACCTTCCAAAAACACTACAGCATTCAACAACAAAGAGCACGACATTGGAACATTTCTTCTTGGTACAACAACAGGATGAAGCCTCTAATAGCTTCATGAATATCCGTTTCATTTAATACTGTGAAATCAAAAATATAAAGAAAAAAAAAACTGGCTTGCTAAATTAGCATCCATGAATATGCTCGACATTGGTTTAAGTTGAGCTACTTTTATTTGTAAGTTGAGGTACTTTCATTAGCACCAAAGGGAGAAAAGTGAGGAAGAATTAGGAGCACTGATTGTATCGGGTTAGCTGAGAGCATGTTGTAATGTTCTCCCTTGAGAATCATAGCTATCTAACCTTACACAATTGCATAATAAAACATATTTGATGTCTTACTGTGGATGTAATTCTTTGACCGAACCACATAATTCTTTTGTGTCAGTATATTTTTTTTTATGAGCAAATTGCTACACTGTGGAAATTACATTATTATTTGAACATTTTTGTTGGTATTGGTGGCAGAAAAATGGTTTGAGATTCATAGCTATGAGCAAATCCTTTTGAGAGTTGTCTCAATGTGATTATTTGGACACTATTGTTGCTATTGGCATTATGGGAGAATATGTTAGCATAAAGCTTTTATGGAAAAAAGAAAATGACACTTCTGTGAAAACTTCATTTGACCGACTCATAGATGCGTTTGGACACCACCGCCTGCTCCTGTCTTCGAACTTTGTCTACTATCCCTGAAGTAGTTGCGAACAGACGTTTTTATGCAATAAGTATGAAAAAACTAGAGGATTCAACACGTAGACAAATATTCATAGCGATGGAACCAGAGTTGCGCGTCGAGTATTTGCATATTCTTGTGGATGAATGAGTTTTCTATGTTTTTTTGTTGTACTATGTACTATTTGAAATTATGTACTCATTTGTTTTTTGGAGTTATGTTTTTTTTTTAAATATACTTCTATATGATTCCTGAATCTCTATTAGTAGTGTTCTATACTTTTTTAATCGGCCTTCAGTTCCTGAGGATGAGAATGACTGTAATGAATTTAAAGTTCATGAAGCGGAGGGTGTGACTGAGATGACTGCTCTGAGGAAGTCTATAACAGATGTTATCTATGACAGCTAATTCACCAAGTCTATCTTTTCTTCGTATATTATAGATTCATTTTGATGTGTACTTTTTTTTTGTTTTTTTTAAGATCTGACGTTTGGTTTTTTTGTTTTTTTTTTCGCAGTTATACCAACATAACTTCTAGGATTTCAATGACAGACATAGTTATTTTGTGTTACTGTGGACTACTGACTCTGTTACTCACAATGCATCAGTCTTATAACAGTGGAAGACAGTTCTACGGTTGTCGCAAGGGTGTTTCAACTCATCACAGTTTCTTTCGATGGGCTGACAGCCCCACATATTACACTCCCAGCAATGAGGGGAATTCGATGTTTTCCTAGGTTGATAGTGCAACTGAGGACAGGCGTAATCAAGGTTTGAAACTGAATATTTTAATATTTTTCATTGTAGTTGTACTTGTCTTTATTTTTTTTTTTCTGATACTCACGAGAGTGTGATAGCTGTATGTTATCTTTTGGAACTGATTTGTAATGATTTCATGCTTCTGCACTATATGTTTATGTACTATATATTTTTGTTCTCATTTTAGTTCTGTTTCAAACAGTTTTACCAGACAGGGGCAGGAAAGTCATTATATAGCAATAACTACCAATAAGCTATTCTGAATAAGCTGCCCCAAACAACAAGTCAGTTTATTCTAATAATCTGCAGATTATCA